ATATATATATATATATAACAATCCTAAACACATATATAAAATCTAATATCAAAGCTTAAAAATACTTAAGGCAAAAATGATAGAACTGACAAGAAATAAGTCTACAGTTTTAGTTGGAGTTTTCAAAACTTTCTCCATAATTAATGAAATCAGACAGCAAATCAATACGAATATAAAAGATTTGAATAACACTATCGGTTCCATTGTGTAATGGTTAGCACTCTGGACTCTGAATAACACTATCAACCAATTTGATCTGTTTGACACTCATTCCAACAACAGCAAACTACACATTCCTTTCAAGCACACATGGAACATTTGCCAAGATAAGACTATATTCTGGGTCATAAAAGAGTCTTGATAAATTTAAAAGTATCTGAGTCACATAAAGTTAAGTTTTTTGACCACAGTATAATTAAATTAGAAACCAATAACAGAAAGATCTCAGGAAAATCGCCCAAATATTTTAATTAAATAACATTCTTCTCACTAACCTGTGGGTCAAAGGAGAAATTAAAAAATAAATTAGAAAGTGCAAAAATGCAAAGGATAAGTAATGCCAATTTTACACAAACTTTTCCAGAAAATAAAAAGGAGGGAATACTCCCCAATTCATTATCTGGGGGCAGGAAAAAAAAATTACAGGCAAAGAGAACTACAGACCAATCTCTATTGTATACATGTACAACAATTATACACAAAATTTTAGCAAATGAAATCCAATGATATAGTATAAAAAGAGTAATACATAATGACCAATTATGGTTCATTCCAGGAATGAAATATTGATTTAACTTCAAAAATTGGATAATCTAATTTACCATATTAGTAAAGTAAAAAAGAAATACCATGTGATCATCTCAATAGATGCAGAAAAAACAATAAAAATCCAACATCCATTCCTAATAAAAATTCTCAGCGAAGTAGGAATATTAGGGAACTTTCTCAAACTTATAAAGGGAACCTATGAAAAATCTATAGCTAGCATCATATTTAATGGTAAACACTGATGGTTAGGCTTTGTGCCTAAAATCAGGAACAAAATAAACATATCTGCTCTCATGACTTCTATTCATCATTGTACCTGAAGTTTTCTAGCTCGTGGAGTCAGGCACGATAATGAAATAAAAGGCATCCTGACTGGGAAGTGAGACGTAAAATTGTCTTTATTCATGCACATGACCACCTATGCAGAAAATCTGATGGAACCTACAAAAAAGCTGTAAGACCTAATAAGCAGCAAAAATATAAAATACCTAGGAGTAAATGATTTAAAAAATGTGAAAGACCTGTACACTGGAAACTACATATCATTCCTAAGAAAAGTTAACGAAGACCTAAATAAATGGAGAAACATACCTTGTTTGTGATTTGGAAGACTCAATATCATTAAGATATCAGTTCTTCCTTAATTGATCTATATATAGATCCATTGCAATCCTAATCAAAATCCCAGTCAGCTTTTTTTAAAAAATAGAAATTGACAAACTGCTTATAAAACACATTATTTACTTGGTATTGAAACCAGATAGAACATTAGTCTTCACTGGGTAACATTTATGATTTAAGGCAACTGTTCTGCATTGTATAAAATGTCTTGGGAGCTCACCTCACCCCTCTCTTACTCTTTGCTACTCCAGCCTACTCTCTAGTACCTTTACTTTATTATTTTACATATTGAGCTTGTGTAAAGCTTCCTTAGAAGGAAGGTTTTTAGTCTTCTTCTATAAAAAGTCTTAAGATTACAATTTTAAAGTATTACTGAATATAAGGACTGCTCCTACATATTTAAAGACAGAGGACATAATGAAATAGATGAGTTTCCACATATACAGAGGTGCTAAAAAAATGTATACACATTTTAAGAAAGAAAAAACTGTATTAAAATTAATACGTAATATATACCGATAACAAAAGATGAATACAAGTCACGTGTATACATTTTTGGGGGGCACCCCCAGTATATCTGAAAATAACTATTGGAAGAAGAAACATATGTCCCTGATAGCAGATGTAATTACTGCTCATCAGGAAGCTAATGGATAGGTTTGACTAAGGAGTCATGAAAAATTTATCAGGGTTAGAATTTAGCCAAATAATAAAGTTGAAGGGGAAACCCTCCAATTCTGTTTCATAAAATACCTGACAGGTATAAAATGTATTTTAAAATATTCAAGTTAATATCAAATAAATTACAAAATTCATAAGCAAAAATAAATTTAATAACAAAATAATTGAGCATTAAGTATCAAATAGGCTCTTCATATCTGTTACATACTATAAAATGACCTCATTGTAATATGGCTTTACTTTTTTTACTCACATTTAGAGAAAATTTTGAAATAATTCATCAGGCATGAAAATAATTTCAAGTGTCATTTCATTTACAGGTCTGCATTACATTTACTGAATTTGGAAAAATGCAAAATATTTGTAACTTTCTTGTTGAAAAGCTAGATAGCTCTGTTGTCATCAGCCAACCCCAATTCTATCATACTCCAGGTGCTATTGAGAATCTTCGGTAAGTTAAGCACATCTTTAACAAATTATCAATTAATTAAACAAAACTACATAGTGCTACAGTTCATTGAATGCCATATTAATAACCTCTGCATTTAATTTTTAAGACGTCAAGCCTGTCTTGTTGCTGTTGAGAATGCATGGCGCAAAGCTCAAGAAGTCTGTAACCTTGTTGGCCAAACTCTAGGAAAACCTTTATTAATCAAAGAAGAAGAAACAAAAGAATGGGAAGGCCAAATAGAGGATCACCAGTCATCCAGACTCTTAAATTCATTAACTGTACAACAAAAAATCAAAAGTGCAACAATACATGCTTTTTCAAAAGTATTTATAAATTTTGAAGTAAAGGGGAAAGAGAAGAAAAAAAAACATCTCTGAAATTCCAACCAAAATATATGATGTTTGTACCTTTTTGTCATTTTTATACTTTTTATAATGTTTGCTTTTGTTCTGAATGTATACACACACACACACACACACACACACACACACACACACACACACAGTATAGTATATAAAGTGTTTCTCCCCAAAATCTGTCAATCCTTGNAGACACATAGATCAATGGAACAGAATAGAGAGCCCAGAAATAAACCCATCCATATATGGTCATTTAATCTATGACAATGGAAGCAAGAATTTACACTGGAGTAAAGACAGTCTATTTAATAAATGGTGCAGGGAAAATTAGACTGACGTGCAAAAAAATGAAAATTGACCACTTACTTCCACCATATACGAGAACAAATTCAAAATGAATTAAAGACTTAAATGTAAGACCTGAAACCATAAAATCCTAGAAGAAAACATGGAGTAAATTTGCAGACATTATCCTCAGTAATATTTTTTACTAATATATCCCCTTGGGCAAGGCAAATAAAACAAAAAATAAACATATGGGATTACATCAAACTTAAAAGTTTTTTCACAGCAAAGGAAGTCATCAGTAAAACAAAAAGGCAGCCTACTGAATGGGAGAAGATATTTATCAACGATATATCTGATAAGGGGTTAATATCCAAAATTTATAAAACACTCATGCAACTCAACACCAAAAATACAAACAACCCAATTAAAAAATGGGCAGAGGATATGAAGAGACATTTTTCTAAAGAGAATGTCCAGATGGTCAACAGACATATGAAAAAATGTTCAACCTCACCAATCATTAGAGAAATGCAAATAAAAACCACAATGAGATACCACCTCACTCCGGTCAGAATGGTTATCATCAATAAATCAACAAATAACAAGTGCTGGCGAGGTTGTGGAGAAAAGGGAACCCTGGTGCACTGTTGGTGGGACTGCAGATTGGTGCAGCCATTATGGAAATCTGTATGGAGGTATCTCAAAAAACTGGAAAATGGAACTACCTTATGACCCAGCAATTCCACTCTTGGGTATCTATCCAGAGAAACCCAAGACACTAATTCAAAAAAATATATGCACCCCTATGTTTATTGCAGCGCTATTTACAATAGCCAAGACTTGGAAACAACCAAAATGCCCATCGCTAGATGACTGGATTAAGAAACTGTGGTACATTTATACAATGGAGTATTCTCCTCTATAAAGAAGAATGAAATCGTACCACTTGCAACGATATGGATGGACCTAGAGAACATTATGTTAAGGGAAATAAGTCAGTCGGAGAAAGACAAACACCATATGATCTCACTTATATGTGGAATCTAAAAAACTGAATGAACAAGCAAAGTAAACATAAATAGTTTCAGAGATATAGAGGAAAAACTGATGGTTGCTAGTTGGGAGCAGGGTGGGGATGAGGGGGAAGGGGAAGGGATTAGGCAGCATAAATAGG